GCGATTCGCAAAGTCTGACATCGGCCTCAGGGGAGAGTGGCTTCAAAAAAGGTATCACTGATTTATATTGTATCCTAATTCTAATACTCTAGACATGTTGATGTCTGACTCAATGTAAGTAAGTCCCAGGCCGCGATAGAACTTGTTATGCCGATCGGAATTGAGTGAAGAGATTCGAAGGGACCGCCAGCGAGAAAAAGGAAAACAACAGGAACAATAGATTACACTGGAATTGAGGTTCCCCCATACTTGTGAAATTGAGCAATACGCGAAAGAGCACGTCGTCGAAAGCACAGTCATCGCTTATGTCGCGCACTTTCTTGTGGCGACAGATCTTCGACTCCTGTGCTTCCTGTTACCTGACCCTGTTATACTCGCGGAAAGAATTACTGGAACGATATTATCATGACCCTTGCCTACCTTCGGCGGTCGGTGAGCCAATCAAATGTGGCAAAAGTTCTGAATTTATGAGGTCGCAGTAGTCATAAGCCGCTGTTTAAGCGAGAGAGCGCAGGCGGTAGCACCTGGGGCCAGGGTCAACCGTCACGTTGGACCGATTTCGAAAATTTTACGACCCCCTCCCCCTTCTAGAGGGCCTCGATACGACCCCCCTCAGGGTTAACCCCTCACGACCATCCTCCACCACCCTCGCCTGCCATCGCCATCATGGGGGCGATTCTATAGTATTTGATTCTGAGACCAGTCGACACAGCTCCGCCCACTTTCCCTCCAAAATTGCCGTCCAACAACCCTAATCGCTCTCCGTTCCATAAAAAATCATCCCTTACTGTAACATTAACGCTACCTCGCGAAATACGACCCCCCTCTTTTCCACCCCCAAATACGACCCCCCCCACCCCCTCGTTGGACTTTGTCCAACGGACGGTTGACCCTGCCTGGGGCGGCTCAGAGGACCGAGTTCAAGAAGCCCATAGACCTTGCTATTCGGTCTGTCGTATGACTCCGCTGTGTCGCAATGCAACGGCCTGTTCATCAAGGTGTCTGTGTCCTCGCTTCTGATCACTCTCTCCCTCATTCTCTCTCCTCGCCGTCCAGTGTCTCATCGTTTTAACAATGTCCGTGGTCATTAGTTATAGTGTCTTTAACGCCTCTTTTTTCTTTTTTTCTTAGTAACTGTCCATTTCAGTCTACCTTCCATTTTGAGTGAAGTAACTTTATCTTGTGTTCGCAAATTTATATCTTCAAGATAAGACCATCCTCTTGAATCAGTGATACCTTTTTTGAGACCACTCTCCCCACCCCCCCCCCAAACCTGGGAGGAGGAAAGTTTAATCAAAATTGTAGAAGGTAAAATCACAAGGTTCCTACATAAAGGCCTATCCTGATTCTGATTAATTGTTCCGCAGATTGCGAACGAAAGTAAAGACGTCGGTCCCTTCGGTAAAAGCTCCTTCCAGGTCCTTCCAGGAGAACCGATAAATGTTCACCCTCATGTCGAGAATAATGGTTATGAGGACATACCTGAAGGGATAAAAACGCTTAGGGCCACCTCATCTAATCACTTGTGTGTAGAGCGTGCTCGAATTCTCCAACGATTCTGAATTTATAAATACTACAGAACGCATAAGCGTAGTCACGTGATTTATATCAACACGCAAAACCATTCTCAATACACTCACAAACTAATCAGCAGACACATATTTTCATAATTATCAGCTAACTCTTAACAAGGCTAGGTAGTACCAAACAACACCAAGAAAAGTGAAAAACATTACAAAATAGAATGGTCGTTGACTAATTTTTCAAAGAACATCAAGTTGACGCCGATTGACACAATGTTTACGATTTAAGTGTACTTATTTACTCACAAAACTGCCAGCTGTATTACACCTACATGACGTACAAGTTCATAAAAACAAGCCGCGCGCCGCACTACCTTTCGCACATCTGCTCCTCACAGAATAAAATGAGCAAGCATAAAAAAGGAGAGGCATAAATAAAGCATGCGATAGTAAAAAAAAACAGAAGATTCAGAGAACTGAGAGAAAAAGGCCCACGGACTTAACACAGAGAGAGCCTAACGAAACAAGATAACAATATACAAACCATGGGCCTTGGTTCTTTGCGCGCAGTCTCATCCAATTTTTCCCATGCGTTTCAATCTGAGAATGCGCTCCAGAGCCCGACAAACATATAAGTCTTCCTTGCATGCCCAGCTTTCTCCGTTATTGACTCCACAATTCCAATTCGCTCACCCGCCTCAGCAATCCAAAAAAACTATCCTCGAATTCTAACCACCTTATACTCAGATTTAAATGGACGCATCTCTACTCGCGAACCATTCAAATCCTTCTGCCACTCTCCCCAACCACTCAAATCGAGGTCCCAGTAAAGATAAAACCCTTTCACCTGAAAACCTTGTAGCGGAAGCAAAAAAAAAACAACAGCCCGAATCCAGCTACGGTCCTGCATTTGCTCTGTTTCAGGGGCAACCAAGAGTGGTAGACGAGATCGAAGTCGGTCACGTAGCGGAAGGTCAGCGGCTCAAACCATTCGTACCTGCTGTACGAACAGCAAACACGCAATCCAAGACTTTGAAAACTGGTAACGATGAAGATGACCGGCCGCGAACACCGGAAGCACAGTCACCGAAGGTTGCTGCTCATCTACCACACTCTCAACAAATACGGAAGCAAGACGGGAAGAAGGATGCCTCACTAAAGTAGTATAGAATACAGCTTCAAAATTCATATTATGGTAATTTTCTATATTTTACCAAAACGGTAGTACTGATCAATTTACCAGAATCTCACTTCTAGGTTCAATAACAAAACGAACAAGTTCGAATGCAGATTCAATTCAGTATATAGATCTTGAACAAAACTTTCCTCTTTTATTATATCGATTGCAATAAATAAATTATGAGAGAACGATCTGTGACAGCATAGGAATACACAATACATAGTGGCTTGTAAATGTACATAAAACTCATTTTACAATATGCTTATGCCTCGGATTCGCTTTCAGCTAGTGAAATCTGTAAAAAATTATACACTAACTTGCTCTTCACTCTCTATTGAAGCAATACAGAAACGAACGTAAAAGAATCAAAACAAAATTCGAACCAACTGACCAATCTGTTCATTTCGTCGAGGCGCTCACTTAAAGCTCCGATAACGGAAAAGTACTCCGTTTTGAAGGTATCCAGCTCCATTGTGTACCTGTAATAGCTCATTATTAGCAGTTATTTTATACATACCCGTAAGTGTTTAGTGCATATTTCTTGGTATTTCTGGAAAACACCCCCTTCCTGAACATTCACCACTTTTCATATTGGGGCATTATTGTTAGAGTGAATGGGCCACGAATGAAACGGTCCGAAAACGTGTGTTGTTCAAAAATTCAACATGCGTTTTCGGTTCCTCTGCTCATTACCACTTGATGTTACGATAGAGCTGGCACCGTTAAAACGAACAACTCTGTAGTTGGTGGAAGATGGAAAGCAGAGGGCTGCTTCGAAAAAGGAAATGGTGTAAAAGAAATGGAGTCGAAATTGACTGTCGACAATCACCATAGAGATGTAATTTTCAGAAGAATCCAGGATCTATTCCAATGAAAGAAGCATGTGGTGCAAAGCTTCATGCTGCCAATAATCCCAATTTTCGCTGGGGAATGGAACTCGAGGATGGGTGTAAGAGTGGAAACGACGGTTCACGATTTCCTTCTCCTGCCAAAACAGGAACTTAAAACCATAGGAAATATCGCACCAAATGCCCTGGAATTAAACTAAAAGTATGAATATCAATTCTGTAGTCCTAATTCGAGTCAACAGAATCCAAGTTATACTTCACTGCCGTCATGTCCTCTCACTTGAACCGCACTCAAGATGAAACAGCAGCTCCTACCATGCCCCTCTTGAGCATAGTGGTGCAAAACGTTTGCAAAAGCACAACCCATGCTCTGTTCTGATTGAGATTGCTGCGATTTAAGATGCTGTGAACATTTGGATAAACATAATGGAAGGGAAGACTAAGCAAAGTTTGTTCCTCTTACGCTTCAACCTTTTGTGACCACCTTAAGAAGACATCAGGTAAAAATTTCGGAAAATATTCAGAAAATCATCGACTTGTCGTTAGCGGAAGGCAAGCTATACCTACTGGAATGGATGCACCGAATGTGCGAAAAGCTTTTACGATTTGCCTAAAAAAGATTCTAAACCTCAACGAACTCACTTCTTCCATTCCTCCAACCCCTTCTCGATGTCGTCTTGGATGGCGTCGAGCTCTTTTTCTTGCTGAGGAACTAGACCAATCTTGTCGGTTTTGAGGACCACCGGAAACAAAGTGATTAGCGGATCGCATTCCAAGGGATTCTGAGACTACTCCTCTATCTTTCGTCGATTCTTGAGAAGTTCGGACTTCGTTGCTAATTGAGCGTTTTCACAAAATCCAGATACAGTTGTCAACTTCTCAGATAGGGAATTGATTATGTGGCTGAAACAAGCCGCTATGATCACTAAAGTCAAACACACAATTGTACTGATTAGTCATCACTTACCTTGTTCGTAAGATTCTTGAGCTTTTTCAATTTTACCAGAGGGATTTTCATAACTCGATCCAAACCTAGCTTCGTCAACTTTGTTTGCAATGCCGCTACGTCGAAATCCTTCGCTTTTGCCTAGAAACGTAAAGAATAAGAGCATATCTGATGCAAAATTAGTATCTTAGTACGCACTGACCAGAGTCGCGGTTAAGTCCCGCCATACTTTTCCGAGCTGGTTGCTTCATTTTGCAGTTCGAGTGTGCAGTAGATGCGTATCGAACTGCGATTAGGCCATCGGAAGATCACAGGATCACTGTATTGCATGACCGATACGTTTCTACTCCACACTCAAACAGCAAAACACGCAAAATCGCTGAATCTCAGAATCGCATTCTATGAGCCGGGAAAGCCGCGGTCATAATTTGCGAATGTTCGCATTTCGTTTGCATCTCGTGTTATGGACTATACTGTATCGACCACCGATCGCTCAACCGCAAGATCACATGATCGATACGTATCAAATCCACGGGAAACGGAAAATCGCAATCTATGACCACGCCTTCAGGGTCAGATCATACTTCGCGACACTGCGATTTTGAATGCCCCTGAATGAATTGAAATGACGAAATGAAGCTAGCTCCTAGACTAAGCCTAGAGGAACAGTACGAACAGAGATTCGCGCTCGCCGCGTGTCACCCCCTAAACTCGTTAGCACCCAAAACCAAGCGGTGGCCTCCGGGGGAGCCGTAACATCGCTGATCAAATTTACGGAGACTTTCACTTTGGGACTAAGGCCTACAGGAAAGAATAGCGACTTCGTGTTTCGCCTGCGAAACATTTTCCCTGCAGAAACTTCGGCCGACCACAGCGATGGACCTGAGGTCCCCTGAGCTAGAAATTTTTCGCGCTGCGGAACGCGAAAAAGTCGATTTTTCAGGCCAAGAGGGAATCTGAGGTGCGTAAGCATTCACTCGCTCCGCGACGTCCTTCTCCGTTAACTTAGTCCCAGTGGCCCTCCTGCAGACTCCCCCCCCCCCCTCGGAAGGCAATTGGCGTCGAAAAGACTTCGAAACCATCGGGCTCGGGGACGCATGAGAGGGGCACGCGAGAATAGCGCGGCGCTCTGTCTCGTTTCTAGCTCCTAAATTGCTTACGATAGTACACAGGACAGAACTCATTTCGCCATTATATGGCAGCTCCAAAATACGCGCCGTCGGTGACTAAGCCATGATAGATCAGACGGAAACAGCGTCGCGCCATCGCGTGCCCCCCTCGAACCCGAGTTTCACCTCGAAAATTATTAACACGATACAGTTTTCTGATAAGACATAACCAAATCTCAAGGGCAAACTAGACTTACATCTGTGCACTCGTCAATGCCCAGAGCTCTTTCGATTGCAGTTATCCGATCTTCTAGTGATTCCTCCATCTTCGAAAAATTGAGGAATTGATAGTCTCCACTCAGTACAAACAAAAATTAAGATATTTCCTCGACAATGAAGGAGAACAAAATAATTCACGTCTTCTTCGTTGTTCTACGCATTGCACCGACCGTGCTTACCGGTAATCCTGAGCGGTGCCTTGGGCCAGCTGAATTTTTCTCTGCCGGTCGGTTTTTCTTTTCCTCTCCTGTTGTTGTGCTTTTTCTGGCAGGATTGAGTTTTTCTTCTTCATTTTTGCTTGTTAGTGCTCATCTTTCTTAAGGAGGGCAACGAAATGCCTTCAAAGCACTCCCTCGCACTGTAAAAGTACACACAAAAATGATACAAACCTTATGAAGAAAAGCAAGCGCTCATAAAGACTTGTAGTGACCTGCTTTTAAATGGAATATTATCTTACAATAGCTAGAACAGATGAAGTCTGGTTACGTACGGCAAAGTGGTTCAACTGGCGCGTGGGAGTCCAGACAGAAAAGCCCACATATTAACGTTGATACGTTCTTTACGCAAAAAATTGTGGAGAGACAGAATGCGTGCAAAAGCTGTTCCTCGCCTCATATTCCTTGAGTGAACAGTGGAGCAATGAGCGCGCACGTGTGATTTGGAAGAGAACCCGATTTCTCAATGGGATCAGTAATTCAGAGATGTAATCGTTGAAAGTTATTTGGACAGTTCGGATGTCCCACAAAATTTTGCCGGAACAGGGTTCGGAAACTTTTCAGAATTTGAACAGGAGTACAAGTCGAATGGGAAAGGACCGCAGCGTCATGGGCTTGCCACGCGACCTCATAGCGTATGGAACGAAATTTGTGGGAAATTGTAGATCATCGAGTACCATCGTGACGTATTGACGAAGTGTTATACTTCGGGGTAAAATTCTTTTCCCAGTACTTGCTATATAGGACGACTGTTGGGCCTGGTACGGAAATTGAACAAGCACTAGTTTGGAGGTTGAAATGAACTGTCAGCCGTGCACCCATTAGTTCTGTGGATTCAGAAGGATGATCTGAAAGAGAACGGATTGTCCGTAGACCATTTTCTCGAAGTTGTTTGAAAGTAAGTAGCAACGATCCCAAAATTCGAGATTGTTACTCCTCATGCCAAACAATCGCGAAATGATATCTCAGTCAGAACTAGTAAGTGAGTATTATTCTCTAGACGTTCCTTGAAGTGAAATTGTCGGTGCTATTGTACTTCGGTAAGCACACCGCCTTTTTCGGATACGGTAGGCGCGAAATGTACGTCTGCGTTGATATGACGTCACGAGGCCCGCGCAGAGTACTAAGCGCCGCTTCGTAATAACTTGAGTACTCCAGACAGTACTTGGAACGCTGATTTGCCTCCGCTCGCGATTGGTAAGATCCGGAGAACCGAATGGGTATTGATTATCGACTACCCAGCAGCTCGTGACGTCATATCAACGCAGACGTACATTTCGCGCCTACCGTATCCAAAAAAGGCGGCGTGCTTACCGAAGTACAATAGCACCAAATGTTATCCACTGCTTTAAAGTTGGGTGTCGAAATGCTTTTCTCTAATTGCGATAATACCCTAAAACCATGTGCTCGATTAAATATTTGCTGGCTTGTTTCAACCACTGCGGTATTGCCAATTTCAACGCGATTCTTTGCTTTCCTATTGAGCGTGAGAGCTTTATATTATTTCCTGGACAAATTGCTGTTTTAGGTAAGAACGCACGATGCAGTCCACTTCTGATCCTCGAAGGCCAAATAAGATTGTAAGGTTGGTGTGCACAGCTTCTCTACCCTGTACTGCTCGTGTTTAGGACTTTTTCTTATCTGCTCAGGTCCTCTTCAATCGCTCTTCGGTGTTCAGGTACAAAGCAGCAGATCCTCAGTCATCCAATGCTGTCACTGACGATCCTTTGCCAGAGTACATGAATGTTTTAGGAATGATATTCAGTATGTGTGGATTGATGATGCGGGTACGTATTCTCGATATACTAGCTCAGGCTTTTATTTGGACAAGATTTCTCTATCACAGATGGTCGCTACAACTACGGTACTGAGGGTTCTCCTGCCTTCAACCCCATTTTTATCGGAATAAAAGGTGTTGGGCTCTGAGCTTCATTCGGAATGCATCAAGCATTTAACCCTTGCCATTATAGTCATTTATCAGCTTGTTACCTATATATTTTGTCCATTTAATTTTTGTGAGCTAGAGGAAAATAGTGTTTTTACCGTTCATTCAGGTCTGATGTGCATCAGTCCGCCCATAAACTATGAGGTTACCGGCCTAGGACAGGTTTCGGTTTTCGGCATTGATACCTGGCGCCTCTAGCTGTTGAGCTATCCCCTAACGACATTTTTGCTAGTTGTTAGCTGCACAGTTTTTGTGGAAGGAACCTTGGTTTTGTTTTTGCCTGCTCGCGTCGCAGCGCGATGTTTCACACATAAACACTATGGGTAGTGCATTGACAATGAGTCTCCGTTGTTGCATTACTTGTAGCGCCACCAAACAGACCACCAAACTACAAATTATATTCGATTTCAGATGAAATGGTGTGCATGGATGGCTCTGTTATGTTCCTGTGTGAGCTTCGCCAACACACGTTCATCAGACGATGCAAAACAAATTGTTAGCAGTTTCATGTGAGTTCACTTTTTTAGAGTATATGTTACCATAGTATGATTACATCTCATCTTAGAAGAGAGGATCGAACTAGTGCACAAATACGCTTTTCCCACAATAAAAAAACCAGCATTGCCACCTTGGTCGGGATTCGAAGTTCACGAAATACCTTCGGCATATTTATTCCCCTTAGTCGCTAGAAACAGTACCTTTTGTTCCTCATGGGCAGGATAACCCATTGTCGGGGATTTCTAAAAAGTGGGTCATATTTGATCTTCTGATGGATAGAGTTGGGCAAATTGCGTGAGATCGGCAGCGTATTTTAGAGAGAGCTGTAGTAAACCTTGCTTGGTGAAAGTTTCGGAGTTTCTAGGGGATTTGGGAATTTTTAGGGGAGTTTTGAGCTTGTGTTGTTTCTTCTGTGCCATACAGGTTGTTATGGTGGAACACGTTTATTGGTCAACGTTTCGACAATTCGTCGTCTTCAGGACCTGAAACTGGTTCGAAGTCCTAGCTCTGTAGCTCACCCGGTAAAGCGCCTAATCTTACTGAGTTCCCAGAAACGCAAATAATGCAAAATAAACGATCCCAGCGAACGAACCAACTTGTGAGGACTCATCACAGGTTGGTTCGATCGCTGGTACCGGTAATCTGGGGAGAAATCCCAACGTGGCTCAGGCGCCAGCGAACGGTACGATTTCCTCATTCTGTGCCTAGAGCTTTTAGAAGAAGTATGGTTCAGGTTATCAGTGTCGGCTGTCGTCATGAGTTATCTACAGAATCCTCAGCCAATAATCCCACCGTGGGCATCGTTCATGTGAAACTATTGTGATCAAATTGCTTCCCTCTGATTTATTCATATAGGCCAACATTCCTAGGTGTTAAAGTTGTTGTGCTTATTAATAAATTGTTATCTATAGGCCAAATTCCTTTAAGGTGGTTAATTTGTTGTGACTTTTTATAAATTTAACATCTTACATGTCATTTAGAGCGCATGTTCACGCGGCGAAAGCATATCGTAATATTTATTAATTCGAATAAATGGTCATTTACAAAGCATAGAAATTGCGAAAAAAATTCTCTCAGGTGAATATAAGCAGATTTAAAGTACATATTGAAATATTGGAAAGAAATACAGAAATGTTGGAGCATATTCTTGATCGAGTAATATTGTTGAGTTACACATCATGAGAGCGACTGAGAGATACGTTTAGGGTGTGATCATACTTTCCGATACAGTTCAAGTTTGGAGTAGATACGCACATCGATCATGCGATGGCAAGACGATCCAAAGTATGACCGCAATAAGGTCGCAAGCACCGCACTTAGGTTTTGAGCACTACTGCCTTCATATCCACACAAGCAGCAGCACGTCAAGTGTGGGTCACCAGGGCAGAAAACGACTTTTTCGCTCTTTCGCAGCGCGAAGCATATTCGCTACAGGGGATCCCAGGTACACCTGTGGGACTGAGTTGGGGGGGGGGGGGCAGGGGGCGGGGGGGCGCGGGGCCCCCCCCCCCCCCCCCCCCCCTTTTTTTTTTTTTTTTTTTTGGGCCCGGCGGGGGGGGGGCGGGGTTTCTTTCGGCAAAAAAAAAAAATCAGCGGCTAAGAATGAGGTAAAAACGTTTCTGTCCTTATCGACACACTTCAAGTACGCTCATTGCTTCAATAATAGTGTATTTCGAAGGGTGTTACATTTATTTATTTGTTTGTTTATTTATTTCGTTTATTGCATGACGGACAGCGCTAACACATAACACAAATGTTTTAGGCACTTTGTAGATATGAGCTGTTGGAAACGTGAACTTGACAGCACTATTCCGTACAGCCACATCTGATATGCTTTCAAGCACATTCGATTGGGTAGGCTTGGGTTAGGTTTCTCGTCCGAAAATTACAGTAAGGGATGTTCTGGGTCGACTGGTCATGAAAAAGAGCTCTTGATATAGTAAAGTTCGATAAGGGAACTGAAGGTGACCACTGTCCATGCGCAACATGAATTTTCAGGTTCTAACATTGTTGTGTTGTCAAATTTTTGTAAACTGAGCGAATCATTGATGATTTTATTTTCCGCACACACCAGAGTCAACCCTGCGTTGCGCAGTTCGCAACGGCACGTTGAGAGATCCTCAACGCACGCTGTATGGGCGGAGACACAGACGGCTCGAGCATGCGAGTGTGAATGTTCGCGCGAGAGAACGTGTCTAATCGGGCGAAACTGCGCAACGTGGCCGTTGAGAACTGCGCAACGCAGGGTTGACTCTGGCACTAACACCCAAACGAATCAGTCCGCAGTGTGCCTTGGAGGCGCTGCGTCTTTGCAGTCAGGCAAAAAGAGGTATATCTTGCAAGAACGCAATAACAATACAAGCTACAAATGGAAGTGAAAGAAAAAAGTTTCTACCAACCGAGATGAGAAGAAGAATGGAGGTCAGATGAAGTGGAAGTAGAACATCAAAATACAGGCAGAATAGTAACGAGTCTTGCAGAAGTTACAGCATATTTTAAATTAACATCATTTGGCTGATAGCTACAGTTGTACATACAAGATGAAGGAATGGTCGTTTCTACTGAAAGGGTCAGGACATGAGGCCCGCAACGATGTGTGAAACTAGCTCACCAGACGGCGTGCTGAAAGAGCCTGCAGTGTGTTGGTTGCGCGCGACGCCGCAATTCGTGCTACCTGACCTACATACGGACAGTGAACAAAATCTGGATATTAGGCGACATCTATTCAAATGACTTGAGGACTTGATTACAACGTCGATCTCGACGTTATGATGACCCAAGTCCACCAAGCAACACCAAACGTATGCAAAATGGTCGCGTCGCAATGTGTATGGCGCGTCAGGCGCGTGGCATATTTGCGAGTGTTCGATCGTTTAATGGCAGTATATTGCGGACATGGGTCAATGTGGTTTTGGTTCATGACGGCCAGTATTTTAATGGTGAACATGGGGTTGCGTAAACAAGCGAAAAATAAATGGATACAAACTTTTCAATTTTAGAGGTTTAGCACACATCATACACAGGATGTCGGTTCAAAGGTCCCGTTTCGAGGTTGTCGCCACGGCGGTACTACAGCTCCGCGTGACGATGTTTCCTCATTGTCGTGGCTGGTGTGGTGCACATGTGCACGCACGCTTACATGTTTGCCGACGAGATTCAGCGGGCCACAGCGCAAGTGTGACTTCTGACCGGACATCGGAAATCAATAGGCAGTGTTTTCTAGGACTTTCTCAACAAATCAATTTGTACGCTAAAAACCTTTGACTGCAATGGAGACGGTTTCATCTCATGCATACGGCTCAAACCTTATTGGCTGTCGACTGCTTTTCGAATTTGTCCAATATTTTGTCGGTCTTTTCCCAGAGTGCGTTTTGAAGATGTTCATCCCGCGCCAATTGGACGGCCAGGTTCTTCTCATCGTCCCAACATGATTCCCAGTACTTGCCGCTGACCTGAAGCGTTCAAGATTTGAGGTTTCAAAAGACTAAAAAAATTTTTTTCCTTGATTTGTGGTGCATGCGAATTGTTCAAATGTGCCCTAACCCTAAAGCAGTAGTAATGCTTGATTTCTTACTCACATCGAGTATTTCTGGAGAAGCGGCGCAGTAGACGGTAGTAGCAGCTCCTTGTGACAGTGTTTTAGTAAACGGTCTCGAGACGGCGTTCCAGAAATTTTCCAATCATTCCAACCTCGTGAGATTTCTGAAAGTTGGAGTCTATCCTATGGTGTCCACAGTTTAACAATGTTGAAGAGTCGCCTTATATTCCAGAAAACGGGAAGGGCGTCGAGTGCAAACCACACACTACAAGTGACGACAAAGTGACTTTTTTCTCTTTTTGTTTCGGCCGTTCGTCATTGTACGTGTGTTGATTGCACAGACGCTTTCTTCGTTCCGAAAATAGAGGGTTTTGGCTGCGCTTAGGATGCAGCTAGCGGTTGTGTAGCTAAAGGTCACCATGCGACGTCGCACACTTTTGGATTGCGCCGCGCACGCGCCAAGTGATTCGGGGCGTACGTTCGACGTAGGAGGGGATAAATACACAAACACGGTGGCACGTATGACGGTTAAAGAGTGTAAGTGAAGTGAACTTCTCTCTTCGAACAACACTTCACGAACTTCGAAGAAGAACGGGCTCATGGCGCGACCAAGTGTAAGCGACGTCGTCGCGCGCAGTGACCTTCTGCAACACACCAGCGTTCACCAGCACCGCACAGCACATTCACGAGTGATTCCAATACGAAAGTGGAAATCCTATCATCGGAATGTAGCCCAATTACCCCGCAGTTGGGTGCTTCTCTTGGAATTCTTTTGCATTCACAAAAAATGAAATGTCTCACTATGCCGACAACCCCAGGGCCCGCACGCTTCGTGTTTGCTAGATACATCTCTACTGAAGGAATTTTGACCACACCCCGGACTCGCTGCGCCATGTTGTTTTCAAATAATACATTCACGGTGGAAATGCAATATGAACACATAAATACACACACATTGAGCGCCTACTAAACAATCTTTTCCGTGTAGAGGGAAGGCAAGATTCCCGTGGGCTCTGAAACTTCTGCTGCCTTGTTTTGATGGAAAACGGAGATGCAAACTAGTTTTAGATGCCACATACTACATCACTGCTCAGCAGGGTGTCCGCGCAGGAACAACGTAACCAAACAAGCTAGAGCGCACAGCTGAAGGCTGAATTTTAGGCATAACCAATGGTCGTAGACAAAAGCAACACTTGCAACACAAGCTGGTCTTAAAAAGGATTAAGCATTTGGCGATCAATCCCGTTTGGGATGCGGCACGCATTCTACTTCCATTTGTACATTCGCAGTGGCATTTGAATGCGATGTGGCCTATACAATGACTTGCGGGGGCCAGCCGATGTACAAGTCAGTGTTTTTATCCTCCCAGACAAGTTCGGCTGACTTTCGAGGGTTGGAGAGAGGGTTGGGCAGGACGATGTGCGATCCGAGGATTTGATCCCCGCACCGGGTGCGCTGTAGGCAGCGCCACTTACCACTACACTATTTCGCTCTCAATTATCCTTCTTACACTATAGAATACACTAGCATAACTAAATTGATTTGTCATGGAAACGCTCGGTAATTTCCAAGTCAACTAACCAAATTTGTTAAGAAATAGGCGATTAATTGATTTGGATCTCCTGACCCATACGATATTGTTAGAAAACGATCGACCCTTTTCTTTGTTGTGAGCATTTCACATATATGTCTTATTTTGCTTGAATTTTGATACTTAAGCATCCAAAAATTACCTGTGCCAATCATTGTCCCTGGATGAAGTACATAAACTGATATGCCATTCTTATGCTCATCACGGTGAAGCTTCATTGCCATCAACACATTGCACAGTTTCGAATATGCATAAAGCCTTAATTTGAGTGGAATATTTGTTCCAAAACTCTTAAGAGTACAGGCTCGATACTTACTTATAGCCATACTCGTTGCTTTCAGTTGGACAAAGTTTGGCTAGCTTCTCGTCCACAGACATTTCCGGCTTCAGCTGTAACGAGATGTTAGGGTACCCGACAGAAGGCCCGTCGCGCGACAACAAGGCAGAGTCAGCGGACGAGTTGCAGCGCGTACTGTAGTGATTTCGCGTCAAGTTAAATAGAATGTACCATTGTACGTCCTACATCACAC